AGAGTGTTTCATATTTCACACCACTGCCTCAAATCACCCGCTCTTCGTCAAAACCAACGACCATGAGAGATCATGTAAACCATGAAGAAACACTGTGTAATGTTCCTGAACTTTCGAAAATCAATTTCCAACAAGACAACAATTGGAAAATGATCAAACAGCAAGTATTTTAGCCACCCTGCTAGTCTATTATGAGAGAAATCATTTAAGGTCCCGATATCTCTTTCACTAAAAGATAATTGCACTTGTTACTCTGTAATTGCATTATCTTACTATTACTGCGTTACAGTGCTCTTGGTAACTGCGGTACCACTGCAAACGCATGGGTGACTATTCCGTTTCTGCACACAGACAGTCACAACCACTCCACAGTCATTTAGGTCCAAAGCACATGATGTTTCTACTAATTAACCAGACTTCAGCAACAGGTGCACATCGGATCAACCGTTCAAACACACCTTCTGCAAAAGATACAAGTGAATAAAAATCCGTAAGTACTTACCTACAGTTGGGAGGAGGGTCCAACGTAATTTCTGCAAGCTCCTTCTGAATTCTTTAAAATAAACACAAAGAAAGTTATGTTACAATGTCTTCATGCTTCTGGGCCAGCTGATGGCGTGGTGGTTAGGGTTGCTGGGTCCACGTGGCTAAATGCCTGGTCTGAGTACCAGACCTAGTCGCTTGAAAAACATGTCAGGCACGTGTGTGTGCGCCTGCCCAGATCCCAAAAGGAGAGAGAAATGGAGAGGAACTATAACATGACCATCCCACCTACCCCTCGCCCTGCGAGCACATGCACCCGCTAGCAAATTAAAAAAAAAATAAATGCTATACTTGACATAATGTTTCCCTTCTGTAAGTTGTTCATGCAAAATACTTACATTGTGGAGAGCATCCTGTAAAACATCACAGGAATTGCTGCCACAGGTACTTTTTTTTTTTTTTTTTGGAGAGTTTTTTGCTATAGGGCGCGTGCGCTCGCCAGATAGACAGAGAGAGACAGAGAGACAGAAAGTGAGACATCACTCCCCAGGGAGACAGCCATGCCGCAATCCCTTCTCCTCCATTCTCCTCTCAGGATCTTGGGCACGCACATGTACCTAGAGTGAGTTTAAGTCAGAGTCCAGGACTCAAACTGTGGTCGAATACATGGGAGTCGAGCGACATAGCCACTACGCCAACTGCCGGTCCCTACTGTCACAGTTCTGAGGGTGCGACTCCAACGTGTTCTGGGACTGGTTACTATCAGTGCCTACAGCCTGCAGGAGTAACTCCATGTCTTCACTGAACCACTGAAAGCACTCACCAAAGTTTCTAGATATTTTTTGTGAAAGAGAAATATTTGCGATAGGGCAAGTGTCTCCCCAGAAAGACAGAGACAGAAAGTAAGAAATCGCCCACTCCCCACCCCCGGCAGTTTCCTCTTGTGGTCCTGCGCGTGCACGAACATGTGCCCAGTGTGATTTTCAAGCCCCCGGGTCCGGGACCCAAACCGCGGTCCACTAAGTGGGAGTCCAACGACATAACCATTACACCATCTGCTGGTCCTCAAAAGTTCTAGTTCCAACTGGCAACTTCTGCCATAGCTTCTAACTTCTGATTTGTACTAGAACATGCCATAGAGGGTAGAAAGCTGACAGTACTGAGGTGAGTCCAGATACCCTGACAGAGGCCAAAGGGTGAAGGAAAGATCTCGTTCCAGCATCTGCAACTGCCACAAACCACAGTACTGCTTCCTGTAGCCTCAAAGTCGGGGCAGGTCTGACACCATTCCTTCTTCTAGGACTATACGCTAGAATGATTTTTTTTTTTTTTGAGAGGTTTTTGCTATAGGGCGCGTGCACTTGCCAGAAAGACAGAGAGAGACAGAGAGACAGAAAGCAAGAAATCACCCCCCGGGGGGATGGCCACGCTTCAATCCCTTCTCCTCCATTCTCCTCTCAGGATCTTGGGCATGCACGCACACGCGCCTGGGGTGAGTTTAAGCCACCGGGTCCGGGATTCAAACCGTGGTCGACTACATAGGAGTCCAGCGACATAAGCCATTACATCAACTGGTCCCAAGGAGGTATCTTATTTTCTTGAATAGGATCAAAGAAATACTACTTTTGTCAAAACTCTACTGTGTACCAACTACTGTCCCTAATGATACTCAGTGAGGGTCTGAAGGCATTTGGCACAGAGAAAGGACGAACACCCAGCCCGGCTCCCGGCCACTGTCAGTGTCCCCGCTTCCCTGGCCTGTGGGGCTCCCCTCGCATGGCTGGGACAGTGACACTACCGTGGGAAAGGGAGTCTGGGGTGCCGTCAGGGCTGCTGCTGAATTAGAGTGGCGGCTGTGGGATCAGTTCCCCTTCAGAACTCCACACAGACTCAAATATTCCTCCGGAAACTCATCTGTGCCAACGGTTCCTAGCTCTTCACCTAACTCGGAGCATTTTACTATTTTTAGGTTTTTGCCACAGGTGGGCACACTAACCAGAGAGGGAAGGCAGAGAGAGAGACAGAGAAGGGGGATGGCCATGTGCAGTCCCTTCTCCGCTCTCCTCCTGGGATTTTGGGAACATGCATGCACCCGGTATAATTTTTAAGGTGCCAGGTCCAGGACTAGAACTAAAGTTGGCCATGTGGGAGTCCAGCATCGTAACCACCATGCCACATGCTGGCCCCAACTTAGAGCTTTTTTGTTCTATTTTTCAGAGAGAGATTTTTGCTATAGGGTGCGTACTCTCGCCAGAGAGACAGAGAGAGATACAGGAAGGGAGAAATCACCCCCCGGAAGGGATGGCCAAATCTTGGGATTTTGGGTAGGCATGCACATGCGTCAGGCATGAGTTTTAAGCCACTGGGTCCAGGACTCAAACCATAGTCAACCATGCAGAAGTCCGGCAACGTAACCATTACACCATGCGGTGACCCCTCAACTCAGAGCTTTTAGAAGAGCAGAGACCTGGTCCAGCTGGCACGGTGGTGAAGGCGGCTGGGTCCTACACGGCCGATGGTGCAGTCTGAGTCCTGAACCTGGCGGTGTGAAAAACACGCCAGGTGCCTGGGTCTGCATGCCCAAAGACCCAAGAGGAAAATGGAAGAGAAGGGGTTGGGTGTGGCCCCTTCCCCTTCAGGGTGTTTTCTCACTTTCCTCTGTCTCTCTGGCAAGTGTGTGAACCCCAAAGCAAAAAAAAAAAAAAAAAAAGGAAAAAACATTTTTAAGAAAAAGAAAGGCAAGAAATCTTATATATTTGAGTTTCAAAACAGTTTCTGCTATTGATCATAAACAACCCTTTCTACTCTCTGGCTTACCTCTTTGAATAAACCAAAAATAAAACCGAGACTGCATTTCCTGAATGATGGATGAGGAAACAGAAGGAGCATCCGGGACCCTAAAGTTCACTCTCGCTGTTGAAGTTCACCTTCATTTTAGTCCATCCTTCCAACCAGAGCCGAAGGAAAACTGTCAACCCCAGCGCTTTGTGGGTAAAGTTCCCACGAGCCACGCTGCAGGCTACAGAACAAGGCAGCTTTTCCCTTTGTCCTGGGATCAGGATGCTTCTATGAAAAAATAAGTAAGGGTCACCAGGTGGTGTGGAAATTAAGGCGCGGGACACTCCCACATGGCTGACCACGGTTCGAGGCCCAGACCTGGTGGCTTGCTTTCTCGCTTTCCTTCTCTCTCTGTGTCTGTCTTTCTATGGTCCAATTAAAATGAATGAATGAATAAAATTAAATGAATAATTCTTTAAAAAATATTAATGAAATAAACTCCATATATTTTACACACACACTTATACACACCCTAATTTTCTGTCACAGAAGCCTATAACAGAACTTAAAGCCTACCAGTGTCTACAATTCAAAATCTATATTATTCAATACAAAAAGCAATTTACTGATATATTCGACATTTCCGAATAGTGAATCAATACATTATAATGTATTTTGAGCCGCTGTTAACCTAAGAATGGTTCTATTTCCCTGGACAGAGGGGATTATACTAAGAATTGCTATTTAATCGGCTGTAAGATGCCCTGCTGTTTTCAATGTCGGCAATTCAATTCTGTCTCAAAAGTTGTGATCATGGTATGTATTAGGTTTCTCGGTCCTGACGTGTGGGATAAAGAACGCAGCTATTTCAGGCACTGTCCCTTAGGGCGAGGAACAAACAAAAAAGTATCGCTAATTCACACTTACAGTGGGCCGAACTTTCGTATGCTGACCTTAGGCCATCAAAAGCCACTGAAATAAATCTCACAGAATTCCGAGGACTACTCTTTGATCAGTACACATTTAATACATAAGGAACCTAAGGATGGTTACTTCATACTGCAAAGCGAGAGACTGAAGCAGTCTATCTTACTAAATCACACCAGCGTAAAAATTCTTTTTTGTTGTTGTCAGTTTTTAAGATGGGATCTCGCCGTGTCATTGACCTACTGTCTCGGCCTCCCTGAGTCACTGTAATGACAGGCACATGCCTGACCTGCCTTCAGACTGGCCTGGGAGCCCAACTGCGGTTCCTCCATGTGGCCCTCGCCTGTGGGACACAGGATGTTAGCGGTAAGCACCAAGTCCTCGCTTCTAATCAAAATTTTTAAGATAAAATTATTTTAGACAAAAATGCCCTAGTCAGTTGCCTGAATTCCCCATTTGCATCAGGCAGTGCCATTTCTTAGGTTGTTAGAACTGCACATAGTGGGGCCAGCAGGTGGCACGGTGGTGAAGGCAGGCTGGACTCCCACGTGGCCGACTGGGGTCTGAGTCCCAGACCTGGTAGCTTGCTTTCTCACTTTCCTTCTCTCTGATCCACTTCAATAAAATTAAAAATAATAATAATAATGATGACTGGACTCCCACGTGGCCGACTGGGGTCTGAGTCCCAGACCTGGTAGCTTGCTTTCTCACTTTCCTTCTCTCTGATCCACTTCAATAAAATTAAAAAAAATAATAAAAAAAATGACAATGAATAAAGTTAAATAAAATAATTCTTAAAAAAAAAAAAAAAGAAACTGTGCATAGTTGCTTGATAAGTCAGGAGCAAAACACAAACTAAATTTCAGTTTGTCTGACTTTACCTAACCCCTAACTGTTACAGGAATGAATGATAAGAGTACAAGAAGAGCACTGTGTGGGACTGTCATTCGCTTAAAAAGGAGAAAACGAGGTGTGGGGTGAGGGAGCGTAATAGTTATGATTCATTCAGACTTAACCGAAGAATGCGGTGTGCAGATTAAACAGAACGGAGGAGATATAAAGAACTTGCTTTTCACATCAACATGTTAGATTAACAGGTAAGAAAAATGAAGCAGTCCATGTGCTAACATGGTTAAAACACACACGATGCACCATACACACAAACACACACACACACACACACACATACTCCTTGAGTTAAAGAGAACTCCGTAACTCACTTGGGCAAGCAGCATATAAATATAGAGACATGAAGATTCTCAAAGGAGATGTTTTTACCAAGTTTTTAGCAGATCTTTCATCCCACCTAGATGACTTTCTGAACTCCCCTAACAGACTGCTTTGCTCAGTCATCTAAGGGCCTCT